CCGGCCGGAGCGAGCCGGAGCGTCACACAGGATGGGATTGTTCTACGATGAAGAGTGAGGATGAGTGTTTTGTAGACCTGTGCCTCTGCTCTGGTCCTTTTAGAGTCCGTCAATAAAGTTCAGTAAAGCCGCTCGACTCACTTGTCTCTTTCAAACACACCTGGAGGTCTTTGCCTCCTGATTGGTTTGTTCCATCCATGCCAGCAATGGCCACTTCATCCTCCTCACAGAGACCTGACATCAGGTAACACAGTCAAGGTGTAAACTGATGTCAGCACGCTTCAGACTCGCCTGCAACCCACCGACACTGGACTGGTGGAAACCAGCTCCTCCCACTGCAGTCGGCCCACTGGTGTGGAGGTGTGGCCCAGCACACCTTAGCAGAGCTTCTTCACGCGTGTTGTGACGATGACGACATGGCAGTGCCTGATTCTTCCCCCACCAGCAGGGGGTGCTGCAGGCGCTGCTTCCAGGCCTCACTGAGCTAAACTCGAGGTTATTGTTAGTCAGGTGATTAACCTGCTGATAAGCGCCCATATTTCCTCGCTGTGTGCTGATTGGTGCGTCACCGTGCAAATGTGATTAAATCTGTACGTGTTTGATGGCAGGCGGCTCAAAACGGACACCTCTGCCGCTGTGGCGCTACACTTCCCATCCACCTGCTTCCTTCTGTCTCCGCCCACCCTTCTGTTCAAAGCTCTCTCACCTGTCTGCTTCCACCTGCACGCCCCGCCCCTTATTTCCTCCTCCATCGTTTTTGCCGTTCCTTGTTTTCATCCTTGCGTTGCCATGGTTTCAGTTATTTTACCTGTTGATTTCGTTTTCCATCCGTTCCCCCCGCCCCTCGCTGTGTCTTCTTCTGTGGTGTTTGTCTGTGCAGAGTCAGTTGTGCCTTCCTCTTCACATCCTGGAGGAGCGAGGGCTACCCCAGGTGGCCGTGACCGTCGGCGCCCTGCTCAACCTGGCCCCGCCCCGACACTCCAGCACCGCAGCGACCCCCACGACGCCATCAACCCCACCGGGGCCGTCTGTCACCATCTAGCCATATTTGCACCCCATTTGCACCAGCCAATCAGAGCCTCTTAAAGCCTGCATGATGTCATCAGAAAGTGTCCGAAGCTCCTGCAGCAGGGGGCTGGCACCGACACAATCCCACAGTGACGGCTCTGAGCTCCTATTGGTCAGTGCTGTATGTATGGAAGCCCATTTCGGGGGGGGGGGACGCTACCCAATGACCTCGGCTGAAATGAATTTTAAAGTAAAAGATGAATCGAATATTTAAGGTCGTGTCTGAATGACAAAAAAAACATTCACAGGTGAGACCTTCAGGCACCTGATAGGTGCAGGTTCAATTCCCCACGGCCACTTCCTGCCCGCTCTCTGCTGACTAATAAAGGCTCAGCGCCCCCAAAATACAAAGTAGAGAAAAACGTTCAGACGTTTGCAGCAAGTGTGTTTCCATTTGTGGGCAGAAATGGGCTTCCATCCCACCTGTGCCGTCGCTCTGCAGGTGAGGGAGTGGCTGATGGGCAGTGATGGAGACGAGTCGAGCTGAACTGATCTTTACTCTTGCTGCAAGGTTTGTTAGAAATCAGCTTCTCACAGGTGGAGGTTTCACTCTGGACCTACTACACTCATCACAGACGACAGAGCCGCGGACCAGACAGGAAGGAGCAAATAATCTGACCAGATTTTAATGCTGTACCTGGTGTAGGCGGAGCTAATCTACTCCATCTGCGTGTGCTGATTATTACAAGTGATAATAATGAGGGCCTTCACCGTGAAACCACATCTGCTTGTGTTTGAGCAGCGGTCCAAAGGAAA